ATATCTCATGATGATACTTGGTTGTGGCATAGAAGATTAGGACATGCTAGCATGAGTGTTATCTCTAAGTTATTAAAGCATGATCTTGTTGATGGCTTGCCTAAGGTGAATGTAAATATTGATAGTGTATGTGATGCATGCATGAAGGGTAAGCAAACTAGAGTTTCCTTTAAGACTAAGAAGTACATCTCTACAAATAGACCTCTTGAGTTACTTCATATGGATTTGTTTGGACCTATGCGCACTCTAAGCATTGGAGGAAAATCATATGTGCTTGTTGTAGTTGATGACTATTCTAGATTTACATGGGTTGCTTTTCTTGCACATAAAAATGATGCACTTGATGCCTTCAAATGTCTTTATAAAAAGCTTCAAAATGAGAAAAGTTTATCTATCTATTGTTTCTATTAGAAGTGATCATGGGGGAGAATTTGAAAATAATGACTTTGAAGATTTTTGCATTGAACATGGTATTGATCATAATTTTTCAGCCCCTAGAACTCCTCAACAAAATGGGGTGGTGGAACGGAAAAATCGTACTATTGAGGAAATGGCAAGGACTATGATTTGTGAGAATGATTTGCCAAAATCCTTTTGGGCCGAAGCCGTTACAACCTCTTGTTATTTGTTGAATAGAGTTATGGTGAGGCCTATTCTTAATAAAACCCCCTATGAAATTTACAAAGGAAGAAAACCTAAGATTTCCTACTTTAGAGCTTTTGGTTGTAAATGCTTTATCTTGAACAATGGAAAGGACTCTCTTGGAAAATTTGATTCTAAAAGTGATGAAGGCATCTTTGTTGGATACTCTACTTCTAGTAAAGCTTACCGTGTGTATAATAAACATTCTAAAGTTGTTGAGGAATCTATTCATGTGGTATTTGATGAGACTAACCCTATTTGCTCTAGAAAGTCTTGTAATGATGATGATGTAGATGCCATTGGAAAACAAATAAAAGAGATAAATCTCAAGGAGGACAACACCAAGGAAGCTCAAGATGAGAAAAATGAGGAGGACAAACATGAAGAAGTGCAACAAACACAAGAGCTAAGAGAACCAACTTTCCCAAGAGAAAGATCTTATGTCAAAGGTAATGAAATTCTTGGGGATCCATCAAAAGGGGTAATGACTAGATCTCATGCTCATAATACTTGTGCTTTCATTGCCTTTATATCTCAAATTGAACCAAATAATCTTGATGATAGTTTAAATGATCCTAATTGGGTGATGGCTATGTAAGAAGAATTAGCTCAATTTGAAAGAAATAAGGTTTGGAATCTTGTTTCTAGACCTAAAGACCATCCCATCATAGGAACTAAATGGGTTTTTAGAAATAAGTTAGATGAGAATGGAATTGTGGTTAGAAACAAGGCAAGACTAGTTGCTAAGGCTATTGTCAAGAGGAAGGAATTGATTTTGATGAGACTTTTGCCCCGGTAGCTAGACTTGAAGCAATTAGAATGTTATTGGCCTTTGCATGCTTTAAAGGTTTTACACTTTATCAAATGGATGTTAAAAGTGCTTTTCTAAATGGTTATATTCAAGAAGAGGTTTATGTTCAGCAACCTCCCCGTTTTGAAGATCCATCTTATCCAAACCATGTTTATAAACTTTCAAAGGCTTTATATGGCTTAAAACAAGCTCCTAGAGCTTGGTATGAAAGATTGAGTAGTTTTTTGCTTGCAAATGGTTTTTCTAGAGGAAGAGTTGATACCACCTTGTTTGTGAAAAACAAAGGCCAAGATATACTAATTGTCCAAATCTATGTTGATGATATTGTGTT